AACAAAAACCTAAAGTTGTGATGTATTTGTGATTTATAATTATATAATGAAGCGACCACCGTCAGATACTGATCCTAGAAAAGCAGCGAGCGTAGCCTACTGGACAATTGCTATGAAATACTGCTATGGTTTCCTCCTCACGCGACTTCTAGTTGCGAACGCCTAGCATTCCTAAAAGTTTTTAATGCAAAATGCATAACCTAAAATGTATACCTACATGTTATACATACTTTTAAGACTCCCAGCATTGTGTTTCGATATTTTTAGGGGAGCATGAGAGTGCGCTTTAACTGCGCTTGGCAGGCTGGAGCCATCGGGTGCGCTCACATGATCCGAACATCCTCAGCATCAGCATCCAACTTCACAAAAGCCAACACATCAGAGCACACGCGGATATAAATGGCACACATCTCTGGATCTCCAGCTGCGCTTCACGATGGTAGCCTACTGAGAACTTCGAAAGTTTGGGAGGTGTTTATTCACTCTTGTAGCCTTATTTCCCGACAGCTTTTTGGAGTCAACATTGTGAATGAGGGATGCACGGTTAAGAAGTGAATGAACGAACACGAGTTTTGTATTTTATGTATCAGATTTATGAATGGGCGTCTTGACAAGCACAGCGTGCTTTGTAAGTTGCCACGATCTACCGAAGAGACGCCGGATTACAAATGTCTCTCCGCTTGTCAAGCAGGATTTTATGTCTAAGAACGAGTTTGAATCGCAGCAATTTTATTTGAAACGGTACTATTTTTCTTTCCTTTTTATCATATCGACATCCCTTTATGGCAGCTGTAGTAAGAGCGCACAGCTGAACTGGCGCGCTCCCCGCACCTGCGCGGTGTCTGGATGCGCCCGCTGCGCGGTAGATGCCCGTGGCGCGGAGGACCGGAGCCCTCACCGCTGTCCTGTGATGATGCATTGAGGATGGTGGAGGGAACGGACGCCCCTTTGAGGAACATTTCGACAGGAAACCGGGACAGCAAGTACCTCTCTTTCCCCTGGGTGGTGACTTTACTCTCCACTGTTCTCATCACTACGATTATAGTAGATGTTCTGGGCAACCTGTT